ATAGTAAAGAATGGCACCAATTGTACTTACTATAGCCAGGCTGTCTCTTTCTAATTAGTTATACAGTTTCATCAGGATAATTTATGTAAGTAATTTATGTAATCCTTAACTTTCCTATGGATTTAAAATCCAGGAAAGTATTTTTATTTTGGGACCTTTTGATACAAACTTGCTGAAAACAGTTAGTGCAAACTCAGTATACCAGCTTTGTGAGCTGAGTTGTCTGACTCTTATTAAAATCAGACAACTTGTGCTACCATTTTATCATATTGAATGAGACATCCTTATAATTATGTTTATAAATATCTGTATGCTGCACCCTATAAAAATATTCTATTTTGTGAAATGCATTTATTTAATAAAAGTATGAGTAATTGTGGAATAAAAAGACTTTAATCTTAAGGTGCTATGTGCATTGTTGTAAGAGCATGAGCTGAAGTGTGACTGAGCTGACGAGGCACTGAGCTGTTTCATGTATTACAACACCTGTTGTAAAATTAAATTATATAGATAAAGTAGAGCCAAATAATTTCATGAAATTTGTCATTTGCTTACTCAGGGCATAAAAAAAACACTGTTCCAGTTTGTGCTTGTTATGGTTTTTGATGATATATGTATTTCATTCTCAGACACCCCATCACAGAGGGTACAGTTTATTCTTGGAACAGAGGATGATGATGAAGAACACATTCCTCATGACCTCTTTACTGAGCTTGATGAAATTTGCTGGCGTGAAGGAGAGGATGCTGAGTGGAGAGAGACAGCAAGGTAAGCGTTCTCAAGAGGTATTTTCATGAGAAACTGTTGGTCATGAAGGAATGAAAAAACATTTCTAAGTTGCAGCAAGCTCAGGAGCAAAACCATAATTTCTGTCCCCATACAGTGATATCACTACAGTATCTGTCATCCCTCAAAGCCAGATGTTTTCATTTGGATTTAACATATTTAGGTCAGAATGAATATCAAAGGAAAGAAGTGACGTAAACATAAAGTGACTATTGCATATAGTAGTTAGATAGACTTTTGTGTTTATGTATTAGCTTATCATTTTCACATACATTCTTAAACTTGTCTATGGCAAACATATCCTTCAGAAATCAATTAATTGGCTCCTTTATAAAGGAGAGGAAAGATTAACATTGCCATGGCCAAATTATACTTAAATACATTCAGATATTCACATTTTTCTAACCTTTAATGAGCAGATGAAAATAACTTCATTTCCCTAGAATTAAAATGTGGAGAAAATGCCTGCCCAGATTGGCATTCTGTTGAGTAGATGTTATCATGAATGTTAATTGATAAATGATCTTTTCCTTCTTCAGACATCTTGGGGAATGTCTGTCTATCTGCACAGTGTAGTAGCAGTGACCTCAGTAGGGTACCGTAAACGGCATGCCCTAGGTAGTATGATGCCCTGCCTTAACTTCATTAGCTGGGTCAACTTAATTTTAATTAGCCCTCTAGCCCAGAGGTGCCAAATATGTGGCCCATGGGCCAGATCCAGTCCATGGAGCTGTATGATTTGGCCCATGGGTCTCAGACTGAGACCTTGTATCACATGTGGTGTGCAGAGCTGGTGTGGTGTGTAGGCTGGAACTGGTCATGGGGGGCAGGCAGGATCAGCTGGGAGGAAGGGGGTGTGAGGTCACACCATGGCCCCTCCCCTGGATCCACTCCTGCATGGGCCTGATGTTCACACCATGGCACCTCCCCTGGATCCACTCCTGCATGGGCCTGATCCAATGTGGAGTCACTCCATGGGTGTGATTCAGCATGCCAGCCTGGCCCTGAGTGCTGGATCCAGCCATAGAACACTCCCATGTGCTGGCCTAATTTTGCACACAAGATCTGGCTGAAGAGCTACCTGCTTCCTGGGCTGATCTGGTGCATTTCATTTGGCCTGTAGGGGTCCCAGTGGGTCTGGGAATTTGGCAGTGGGGGAGTGATAATACTTACAGCAATTAATGTTGCCACTGCTCCCCCACTGCCAAATTTCCAGACTTGTGAGGAGCCCCATGAGTGGAGCACCAGTGGGGTAGAGTGTTCTCAAAAGTCATGGGGCCACATTTTCTGTTTAATACAGTCTTAGCAGATGGAAGTTGGTATCTCAGGCTGAATTGACCGGCTATAAATTCTACCAATGTGGGATAATAATAATGAGATGCCGTACTCATTGCTCAATACCAGCCAGGGGTCCTTCTCATCCCAGCCCAGTGCAGTGTTATGCAAGAGTCTGGAGCTCTGAACTAGCTAGATCTGGTACTGGAAGCAGTATAACCATGTTAATGTGCTGCTGTGTCCAGTTTAGGATAAACCTGCATTATCTCCTGTAGACATATTCAGAGGTCCTGGTGCTGTTTCATCCCATGTAGGATCAGCATAGTCTGTACAGGCATAGTCTGTATGAATCTTTTTCTTCATGAACTCAAATAGATTGAACAAAAAGAAAAAAAAGATGCACTGTGGGTGCCTCTACCTGAGACATGTTACTGAGCAGTAGAGCAAATTACTGTGCAGTAATTGTCAGTGTCTATACTCACAGATGCTTACTGTAGAGTAAATTGCACTACTTATGACTTAATTTGCTACCTGTAAATACAAGCAGCAAATTAACTCCCAAGTAGTTACTGCACAGTAGTATGCATGTAGATGCTGACCGGGAGCAGATTACTCCCAGTCAGCCCCACCACCAGGGGGCTACCCTCAGCCCAGCCCCAGGGTCACAGGACTGGGAGCTTCTCCAGGCTCTTTGCCTTCCCCAGCCTCTGGCCTTTAAAAGCCTACAGAGATGCTGAGGCACCGGACCCCCGGGCCACCTGCAGCCAGCCTCTGGCCACTGTTTAATAGCAGAGACCCCAGTTCAGCCATGGCAGCCTGTCCAGAACCTGGTGCTGCTCCCTGGCACTGCCTCACCATGTGGCTGCCAGGGCTGTGCCATCGTGTTGCACTGGGCACTACAGTCAGCTGCTAAGCCCAGCAGCACCGTAGGCCACCTGCAGCCAGCCTCTGGCCACCAGGTCCTGCTCCAGCTGGCCCCAGGCCAGCTACAGCAGTCTGCCTGGGCCCTGCCGCTAGTCCCAGGCACAGCAGTGCCATGCACCTGTCTGTCCCATGTCATGCCCTTGTGCCAGGCACTGCATGCAAATGCCCAGGCCTGCCAGAACCAGGACTGCCGTGCACAGGCCCAGTGAGTTGCTGAGAGAGCCATGCTAGCATCCTTCCCAATAGCACACGCTGCCTCCTGGGGCCACAGTGGGTCCCAGGAGGAGACCACAGATCTCATGGCACTGTGGGGCAAGGCTGAGGTCCTCAGGCAGTTTGTGTGGAGTGTGCGCTCCAACACACACATCTATGAGGAGCCACCTGGCAGCATATTGGGAGCACAGGTATGACCAGTCAGTGCACCAGTGCTACATAAATGTCAAGGCCTTGAGAGCACAGTGGGTCGACATCACTGACCACAGCCACTGGTCATGGACTGCCAGCATGTCCATGCCCCTTATACAGCAGCTGGACCAGATCCTTGCACCCTGGGATCCTGGCTGCAGCTGTGCCATGTACAGTAGTGTGGGTGGCCTGCCCGAGCCTCCACTGTGGTCTGGCACATGTGGTGACATGTCACCAGAGGAAGACCCTTTGGGCCACCAAGAGCCCATCTTGCCACATTCCCCACCCCTTGCATGGTTCAGCAGCTCCAGAAGCCCAGGCCAGCACCTGCTCCACCAGTTCTGGGTGTGCAGCCCTGCCCAGGACGCGGCCAGCCATGGAATTTCTGGGCCTCAGCAGCCCCAGCTTCTCCCCAGAGGGAGCCTCTGCTCAGGCAGCTAGATGCCATGCCCCTATGCCCCAGGACACCTCCAGGAGCAGCACATCCTCACTGCCAGTGGGGATTGACTCAGGCTGCTGGACATGCCTGCCACACTCACATAGTAAAGCTGCCCAACCATTGAAGCTCATTGAACCTGTGCCAGGTTCACAGGTGCACCCAGGCTACCATGGTGATCATTAGCAGCAGGGCATAGTGGGTTGGACTCAGTCCATGCAAACAACTCCGAATGGTGCACCCAGGACATTCTCAGCAGAGACATGCTAGAGGTGCAGCACTGGTGCAGGGGGTGATGGCCTGGGGGTGCCTCTCTGGAGAGGCCCCCTGGTGGGAGGGGAGGGTACAACCAGCTCCCAGTCATCTGGGAGCCCCATGCCCAGGTGCCATGAGCTTCGTGGTAGCACAGGAGACAGGCTAGTCTGCAGTAGGAGAAAGTGGGGAATGGCTTTAGAACTGTGGTAGCAGGTGCTGCCAGGCCCATCCCACCTTGGGAAGGAGACAGGGGAGGCAAGCTGCCTGTGGCCAGCATCCAATAGCCCACCTGCCTCTGCAGAGCAAGTAGGAACAGAAGGGCTCAGCTGGTCCAGGGCCTCCCAGAAATTTGGCTGCCTGGTCCAGGGCCTTCCCAACCAACTTACCATGGTCTCTGGGCACCCGTGCATGCATGACCTCTGATCTGAGGCTGGGTAGCACACAGCCTCCTAGTACTGAGCATCCTATCTCAGAAATATTGGAAACTCTTACAAACAAGCTTTTTTTCCTGGTTCTGTAGGACTTGCAGCTGCACACAGTGGGGAGGCACCAGTTGGCACTTGGCATGTGCCTTCAGGGTCACTGCAAGCCTTGGTCAAGGCCCTGCATATGGGTTGTTTCCAGCAGCACAGAACCCAGGACTAGACCTGGTTGCTGCACCATCTGGTCACAATGGCCGAGGAGCGCCTGATGGACACATGGGCCTGGAAGGAGGAGGAAGTTGCCTGTGAGCAGGAGAGAGATGCCCGCAAGGTAGTGAGGGACTGGCATCAGGAGGTGAAGGACCAGTGTGAGGCGGAGAGGGACCAGTGGAGGGATTTGTGGACCAGGATTTCTGGGACAGGCTCTTGGGCCTGGAGGAGAGGCACCTGGAGGCCCAGGAGTGACAGGCTGCCCTAGTGGCCAGGGCAGTGGAGGCAATGGAGGAAGACTGCCAGGTGCTGGACACCATCCTGGCCTTGGCAGTTGCTTTTGTGCCACCTGCTGCCCTGCCTTTAGCTGCAGCCCCACTTATCCCTGGCAGCCACCTGCCACCCAGTAGCAGCCCCTCCCATGGCACCTCCACCAGCCAGATGCCCCTGCCCTTGGCCCCCCCAGCCCTGCTACCTGGGCCCAGCCCTGCTGCTCACCCACGTTCCATATGTCCCTGGTGCAAGAGCTGCCTGCAGTGGATCAAGGACTGCATACACGCCCTGCTCACCCAGTCTGCTGGCTAAAGGAGGGGGAGATGGATGCATTGTCAAAACAATGGCTGCTGTCAATCCCAGGTGAACCCCCCACCTGCTGGCCTCACCACAGTGTGTGCACCCATTGGGGTGTGACCAGAGGTGGGAGTGCTGGGCACCTGTCTCTGGGCTCTGTCCCCTAGGCATCCCCACCCCAGGAAAACACACATAGCACTCACTGTAAATAGTCTGCAGGGGGAAGAACGTGCTTTATTGATGGTCAGTGGGGTGGGTGGTGGAGGGGCTCTGTGGGGAGCTGGGAAGGGGAACAGGGTCTGTTGTGGAGGAGGGTGGGCTGAAGGGCTCTGCTGCTGAGGGGGAGGAGGTCTGTGTTTGTGGGCAGGAATAAAGTGCTTTCCTGAGAACTGTCTTTAGTGAGCATGGTGCTGGGGATGGGTGGTGGGGCTGGAATCTGAGGCTGGCTCTCTCAGTGGCCTCTGTGAAGCTACCAGTCCTGGCTG